GGGGTATCTTTTAGGGATCACGAGGGTCATATCGTCTCCACGCGACCACCATGGTCGAAAGATAAGTAGCTAGCTAACTATGGTGCCCGTGATGACCGTTTTTACATCTTCCTTTTCTTTTCGGCTCCACAAGAGACAATATTTCTGTCCGTTCCCTCTTCACAATTTCTTTGATCTCCTCGATCGGGAACGACGGAAGGAATGACGAGGGTGATCCTTTCGGACGCTTTGAATCCTCACAATAGAAGGTCCACATATCCACGGAAAGGAGGCGCCACTATGTACATGGGTAACATGTCTGATAGGATATGTCGAGGAGGACGTGTCGTTTTGCCTACGACGTGTCTGGAGAGGATGGAAGAGAAATGGGAATGATGGGAATGATGCCATCGATGCTTGTCGTATTGCCGTATTTCCTTATTTGGGGGGGGGGAGTCCCCTTGCCATCATTTACGTAGTCAACTGAGCTGACTTGGCTCAGCCAACGGTAAGGCTTCAGATGTTTAGATACTCTTTGCGTTCATCTTTTTCGCAGGATCATTACATGCCAATCGCCAATTGCCTGGCTCGATTATTCTCGGGCTGCCGCCTGATTCTTAATCTTCGAGAGCAGCCTGAGAGGCTTCCGACTCTTATCTTCACTGACACAGATGACGAGCCCGGAGTGGTGGATTAACTTTTGGGTCCCTCCGATGAGATGCTTGTGTATGACGATTTGTAATTTGGGGTCCCCGTCCGTTCCTAGTCTTTACGTCGGTGGAGTTTCACCTAGAAGTGGAGGATTGAACATGAGAGACATGGAATAGGACTCGTCGGAATTGGGACATTTACAAATTCTCATAATATATAAGAAAGGAATTAATACAACCTTCGCAATTCTCAATCGAACACCCATAGAACATTTCCGTTTTTGCCTCCGTTTCCCTCCAGAGGGTTTCGCCAAAGAAAAAAAGGTTCTCGATGTATGTAGTCGTCGTTATGTACATTGACCCTGTCCTCCTAATGAATACGCTGACTGTCATGACACCACTTTTCGAGTAAATCCAGGTGGGAAGCCTATGCATATCTATGCTGCCCAGCAGCGTAAGTAATATGAACAAGCGATATATTCACGCTCTAACCAATGACGAAAGAAATCAAGTCATGAAATCATTTAATATGCCCTTGCCTTCTCGAGTTCGATATCATCGTCGGTATTCAAACTGATGACGTGTTTCGGGGCTCTCAAAGATTCTTCCCTTACACCACCTCTCTCAAAAGCCGGCTGCTCAAAGTCCGACCCGTGTTTCCTGTAGCGTGGTAAACAGACAGACAGAACAATGGAATAGGAATCGTACTCGGGTCCGATGATAGTGATGAAGACGACGAATGCGGCAACTGCACCAATAAATATTCCTTGGACCTGTATCCAGAGGCGTCAATATATAGAGCGCTAAAATCCCAGCTAAAAAAAACACCCACCTTTGCGTAATCCGGAACGATTATCTTTTTGCCGTCCTTGACGATGGTAGTTGTTAGGTGTTGACCTCCAACTAAAATAACATTCCATTATACAGGTGTGTATCAGGACGGATTTTAATCACTTGCCAGTTTCAATTTGAGCCGAGGCAGCGGAGATCATCTTTAGACAAAATATTCGATCATGGAAAAACGTTGAGATTTGTAGAGCTCACATTTCCAAG